ACATTCCTATTTCTCTCGGTCAGAAAAGACCGATTTTGTTTATGCTTTATAAAAATCAGAGTACTTATTTTAACAAAAATGTTGCGGAATTTGTTCCCAGAAAAACATGATAAATATATTATCAAAGCATTTCCGAAGAAATGTATTTTTATTCATTTTAAAACATTTGGGATGTCATCGTCAATACAGAAACATAAGCATAAACAGAACTTACATTCATTATCACTAGTGATTTATATCTCCTTAATCTGTCAGTGTAATGTAACTTCATATCGACACCTGTGATTCAAATAAACTGAGTGGGTCATGTTGGGAAACCTGGTGAGTACATAGGGTTTTCAACCCACAATAATATAATTATTATGTTTAAACATCAAACAATCAACCCAATTACCCATCCCCATTATCTTTTTTACTCTTAAGGATCTACCCTAAGAATCAGTTATTCCTCGTTCATTCATTCCTAAGGATCATCCTAAGGAATCGGCACGAAGTCCATCATTGCCACGGTTTACACAATGGGCACTAAGTCTGCATAGTCGCCAGGGTTAAGGCACAAAGTCTGCATGGTCGCCAGGGTTTAGGCACCAAGTCTACATGATCGCCAAGGTTTAGGCACCAAGTGTGCATGGTCGCCAAGGTTTAGGCACCAAGTCCGCATGATCGCCAAGGTTTAGGCACCAAGTCCGCATGATCGCCAGGGTTTAGAGTACACCGGGTGAACACATCGTTCACAACACCTACAGGTTGCGAGCCTGCTAGTGTTCCACTGGACTGTCTAGAATAGTCCATGGTTATCATCCACACTCTGCTAGATGACGGGGCCACGCTTGGGTAAAAGACTTCTCTCCTTGTTCACCTCTCACCCTTATCTCATGGTCTATATCACCTCTTATCTCAACATTCAATTCATATTTCATCTACCCATGTTTTACCCAACATATTTTGTAGATATAAAATATATAAACAGTTTAAATCATTTAAAACCTGTATAAAATCTTTCATTCAGCATAGACAGCAAGTATTCAGACAATATGCACACATAGCACGTAATTTATATAAAATACTTCATATCTATGTGTAAGATGAAAGTAACTATGCACTCATATGATAAGGTGGTCACTCGGTACTCGGACAGCGCTTCGTTAATCTTAAAACAATTTCCCTCGGACAAAACCTAGTATCATTACCACTAGAGTTTAGTCTAATGTTTGACGAGACTAATTAATAGTTTTGCTATCATTACTGTTATATAAGCGTTAACCAATATTCTTCACCCACTATGTACAGACAGGGGCCGGACATAAAACACCAGATGGCAGGACCATTTTGGCATATAGCACTTCTGAAATCCAACAACCCTACGCGGCCCTTTAAACCAGATTCCCCGTACCGCGAGTGGTTAAAAAGATATTATAACGACTCTTATATAACTCATAATAATAGCCCAAATAATTATTATAATGTCCTAATAACGTTACTATAATTAATTAAAAGCTATATTAAAAATAGCGTAGGCGTAGCTCACTTACAGCGGGTTTTCTCAAAAACCGGACTCCGCCGGAGCAGAGGTTCTGAGCCGAAGGGATCTTTTCTCGGGGCTTCCTTCAGGTGCTAGGGGGTTTACCTAGACTTTAGGGGGGTTTTGGGGCTTTAGAGAGAGAAAGTATAGAGAGAGAAGAGTTTGGATGGTGTGAAGAATGAAGGAACCCGGCACCTCTATTTATAGGTTGAATTCCTGATCCACTCGCCGAGTCGATGTACTGACTCGCCGAGTCCATGCCACATGTCATCTTTCTGGTGGCCAAACGTGTGTGGCCTGTATTGTGTCACGTCACCCCTTTTGCAGCAGCACCTTGCCGACTTCTAAACCCCGTAACTTTCGCATACGAGATCCGTTTTTGACGTTCTTTGTTTTCACGTGTAGGTAAAAACAAGATATACAAATTTCATTTAGACTCCATCGGCTAATTCTCGACCGATCTTAAATTTAACAGTAGGATGAGATTAGACTGTTAAATAACCGCGAAGAATTCGTAACTCCTTCATACGGACTTCGTTTTCGTCTGTCTTTTTACCGTTGAGTTCCTATTAATGAGATCTTCAATTCTCATTTAGGTAGCGTAAGCCAAAAACCGCTCGAACTAAAATTCGAGTTTCGGGCCGTGCACTGCTAAGCCGAATCTTAGAAAAATCGTAACTTCCTCATACGAAGTCAGATTTGGGCGTTCTTTTTATGGATGTTCTCGGTTTAACATATCATACAACTTTTGTTTAGATCACTAAGGCTAAAAAGTCCTCTATCGTAAATTCACTATTTACGTCCCTCGGTGCCATGCCGGTTTTGCTGAAAAACTTCGACAGGCCATAACTTCTTCGTTATAACTCGGATTTCGGCGTTCTTTATATGTACGGAACACTTGAGACATATTCTACAACTTGGTTGAGATTATTTATTCTAAATAATCTTTTGTCGAAAAGTCATTTTCGACCCCTATTATCTCTAAATTGACTAGCCCGGATCTACGGGCGTTACAATATGTGTTTAGGATTCTAAGCGTACGACTACGATATTAGAACTAGAATGTAAACGTTTCGGAGTGATAAGGAGAATTTAAATATCTATCATGAATAGAGATCTAAATTCGCCTAATTTGGTGTATAGATCATAATGCCAAGAACCCGAAGTGGAGCTGGAAATGCGAATAGGAATCAACAACCTCAACCCCAAGTGATTGAGCAGGTGACTATAGTACAAGCTGCACCAGAACCAATCACAATGGCTGGAGTTCAAGCCATGATTCGGGCTATGATGGCTGAACAGAGGGAAGAAATGAGACAATTGTTGAACAACAGGGATGAACCTTCAATGCCTGTTGAACAACCTGAATTAAATAACGGACAGTCAGGGGAAGTAAATTACAGTCATACTGTCAGTCAAGCGGAACCCACGGTGGCAGAAAGGAATGACCCGGAGAGAGAAATCAACAGAGATGGGCGTATGTATAAGAATTTCTTGGGCGCCAAACCGCCAAGTCTTTCCAGAAGCCCAAAACCTGTAGAGATTATGGACTGGATCTCCAAAATGGAGATGGTATTTGAAAACTACAACTGTAGCGATAAGAAGAAAACCGTCTTTGCGGTCAGACAACTAAAGACCGGAGTTTTAAGCTGGTGCAAGGTACTGGCAGACACGATGCCACATGGTGAAGCCCTGCAAATGTCTTGGGAAATGTTCTTGGAGCAGTTAAAGTTGCAGTACTGCTCAGAGATAGATCTTATAGATCTAAACAATGAGTTCCAGAACTTGAAAAATGGGAGAATGAGCATTGATGACTATGCTACTACATTCATCGAAAATATGAAGTTGTTTCCATACTTGGTGCCGACTGAACTCGCCAAGATAGAAAAGTTTGCTAACGGATTGCCCTCAGACTTTGTCCCGACGGTCAAAATGGCAAGCACGTTGAAGGCAGCCATTAGAGCAGCCAAAAATGTTGAGTCCCAGTTAAAGGAAAGGGGTCTGGAGGGAGCCGATGTTGGCGAGAAAAGGAAGTTCAATGGATCATCAAAATCCAACAAGACGAGCAAGTCTGGTTCAAAGTTCGAAGAAAGAGGTGAAGCAAGATGGTGCGATAAGTGCAAGAAGAAACACGTAGGAAAATGTGGCACGGAGGTGACATGTTTCAAATGTGGAAAGTATGGGCATTACGCCAATGAATGTACATTCATTAAAAGGGTGTGTTATGAATGTAATGAAGAAGGGCACTACAAGCAAGACTGCCCAAAGAGGAAAAGAGCTACAAAGCTAAACGTACCTCCGAAACCAAAGGCAAAAGCATTTCCAATGATCCTTAATGAAGCAGGCGAGGATGCAAGGGATCAGGAGTAAGGACTATATGTTCCAAAATCAAGATATAATGCAGCCATGTAGATAGAACCCGGTAGTGTGGCCTATAAGAGGCATAGTATAGGTTAAACTAGAACATCTTTGTAATCGTTTCAAGAAATAATATAAAACCCTGGTTTTGTCATCTGATGTATTAAATGATCATCATACAACTACAATGATGAAAAGGTTATTGATGAACCAAAATGATTATAATGTTTTAACTTTTTAACCTTTATTTACCAATTGATGTTGTAGAAAATTTCTATAAAATTGAAAATGTTAGAAAGGAGGAAGATCTACTTGCATCAAATAAAGAAACGTAAGGTTATGAAAAAAAAAAGAGAAATATAGAATTCCCACTTGCATCAAATAAAGAAACGTAAGGTTATGAAAAAAGAGAGAAATATAGAATTCCTCCAAAAGAAATATGAGGATTTCAGTGATTAATAATGATGGAAAATTAAAGAATTCCTCCAAAATAAATATGAGGATTTCAATGACCAATAATGATGAAAAAATATCCCTATGGTATGATGAATCGAAAATTAGAAATCATCATTTAACGTGGGATAAATCAAAAAATAGAAGAATTCATCTTCTATGGTGGGATGAAAAAAAATGAAATCGTCCCCATGGGTGGGATGATTAGGAAAAATATTCTTCAAGGAATGACTTGTTTTATAAACACGTTTTATTAGTTTCTTTCATTCTTTTTATATACCCAAAATCTATTACGACTCCTGAATGGATTTTTCATACTCATGTGAAATGATGACAAGTGTCAGATTTTGTTAAAATTTGATGACAAGTGTCTTAAAATATAACTAATTTTAACAAAATCTGACATTTTTCACCATTTCACATAGGTCGGAAGATAATTAGGAACAAAATGTAGGAGGATATTTAATTTCTCATTTTTATATTTATGGCTAAAACTATATAAGTGCTTGTTTTTTTATATAAATATGTTGTACTTTTTATTTTTAAAAATTATCTCGCATGTTCAAAGTTTTGTTAATTTTTTTTTTCTATTTGTAAAATAGGTATAGGTGTTTGACTCATTTATCTTTGTGCTTGGACTTCATCGGCTTTTAAGAAAGTGGTTGCTATGTTTGGAGATGTTTTGTTCATTGATGATGATGAAGATGAACCAGCAGGGATTGGAAGGATATGTATCAAAACGAAAAGCATGTCAAAGATAAATGGCATGGTTCATGTTGATATTGATGGAGTTAAATACATTGTTTCAGTTTCAAAAATTGCAAATTGGGTTCTGACAATTGATCATAGTAAATTCCAAGATGGTAATGAGAGTGATGGTTCGTCTGCATCTAATCAATTTGTTTCGGATGATGACTTGAAAGAAGGTGACGTAAATAACCCGTTGAAATGAATAATGTTCACATAAATGTTAATCATTCTTTAGATCAAGAGGAATGTATCAGGTCTAAAGTGGTTAATATGAAAAATCAAGAGATAGAAAGAGATTATCAGGTGGAAGGGAATGCTAAAGATATTGCTTCAAAAGATGGCTCTTCAGGTAAACAAAATGAAAACAATGAGAAGTGGGTTGACGATAAAGAAAATGAAAATTTTGTAATGGAGCAAGTGCAGCCTTCTGGTGGAATAAATGATGATAGTCCTTCTCTATCTAAACCTTCGGGGTTTAGTAAGGCGATTCATAATGATTCTAATTCAATTTCAGCAGGTGTTGGGGGTATTTTAGGAAATTATGTACCAACAATTTCATTCTTTGGGAATCCAAAAACAAAAAAGGGACCAAAGCAGACTTCAAAAACAGGTCTACAACCTGATGGAACTTCTCTATTGAATGCTAAGACAAGATTTATTGAGGTTGGAACATTATTTGCTTATAATATGTCATATTGTAATCAAGATATGATGAATATTGTGAATGAAATAGGTGAGAAGCTTATTAATAAATGAATATTTTGTCAATAAATATGTGTAGCATTAGCAATAAGGTTAAACAGAAAAGCATTTCGGCCTTATGTAATAAAATGGGGGTTTCGTTTCTTGGCATTCAAGAAACGAGGATGAAAGATGTGGAATTGTTTATTTTAAGAAGTTTATGGGGGAATTTTGCTTTCAACTTTGCTACTAGTTCGTCTCGTGGGCATTCGGGTGGTATTATGTCTATGTGGGATCCGGTTGTTCTTATCAAAAACAAAATTACATGTACTGACATTGTGGTTATTGTTCAGGGAGAGTGGGTGTTTTTTAAATTCAAACGATTTACGGTTAACTTCTATGCACTTCAGGAAGAAAATAAAAATGTGAGTTATGGATGTTTTTGCTGAATATTATGCAGAGAAATAGTCTTCTGTATATGTTCTTTGTGATAGGTTTTATAGGCTATAAATCTATGCATGAGGCAAAAATTACTTAACTCTTAAGTTCACATGCAACCTATTTGGATCTATGTTTTCTCTATTGATAGCAATAACCTATAAACATCAAGAACCCTAAGGGAACTCTATAAGAATCGAAATTTACATAGAGTTAGGGTTCACATACCTCTTGATTATTGTAGAAAATAATAACACCAGTATCCTTCTTGAAAACCTTGGAAAGCAAGCACCAGAAATCTAATGCCTCTAATGGCTCACACCCAAAACCCTAGAAACCCTATAATGAAGAGGAGATAGAGAGGAGATGAATAAATTTTGTTCCTATGCTTCTTAGGAAGTTCAGGAATGAAAATTGATGGCATTGGGGTCCTATTTATAGTTTAGGTAACTTGCAAGAAAAGCAGAATCTGAATTGATTAAATAATAGATTTAATCCTAATTCAAATCCTTTCCTTTTTATACAACTAGGGGGCTTCCAGAAACCCTAGATGAGCCTCCAAAATCGTCAATTCCATGGAGGTTTCTAGAATTACTTATTTTGTTCAACTATTGAATAATTACAACACCTTTAATTAATTCCAATTAATCCCAAATTAATTCCAGATTAATTCTAATTAATAATTAATTAATTATAATTGATTTCCTATTAATTTATTAACCATATAAATTAACAAATCGATTATTCAACTATTGATGACATATTAATTTATTAATCACATAATAAATTAACTGATCAATTATCTATTTCCAATTAATATATTAATCACATAATATATTAACAAATCATTTCTCTCTCTCTCTCTCTTAAAATCATTTCTAGCTATTTATGGTTATGAGGGCAACCCAAAAAGGACTTTGCTTCTATTTTCAAGTTTATACCAGTTTAATTATGAGCTTAGACACCTTAATCCAACACTCTGGTGACTTTAATGTTGTAAGAAACCAAAATGAGAGATTGGGGTCGGTTTTTTCTCAAAGAAACTCCTTTATTAATGATGATGGCCTTTGTGAGATTACTATGGGTGGGTATTCTTTCACTAGAGTTGGTAACAACGGAGCCAAATCTAGTAAGCTTGATAGATTTTTACTATCTGAAGAGGTGGTCAATCAGTTCCTTAATCTTTATGTAATTGATTTGGAGTTGATTATTTCAGATCATAGACCCATTTGGTTGTCTCCAATTACTTTGGATTATGGTCCCAACCGTTCAAGGTTTTTAATTCCTAAATGTTAGAACCTGATTTTGATCAAATTGTTAAAAGTTATCGGACCGAGGAAAGGGGAGTCGGGGGTGAAAGTGCTAGCATTAACTTCAAGAAGTAATTCTTAGAAAATGGTGGAAAGAGGTAAAGAAGAAAAGAGACAAATTGATTGATGATCGTGTTGTCAAGTCTCATGATCAGGAGGAAAGATGTGACAACCGAGAGGTTTCCGTCACTGATCACCATTAGAAAAGAGTAGGAAAAAAACTAGATGTAATAGCTTAGTATTCTAATATTTGATTTTGAGATAATAAAAATCAAATGTGTCATTACACTTATTTGTTAAATCGACTAATAGGCTCGAAATTTAGCATCTAAAAAGTTGTATTGTTTTCTAAGTTGGTTAACATACTTGGAAAGTATTCGTAAACGTGATCTCAATGATATAAGATTCGTAAACATCTAACTCCAAAGGAAGGAGTTATGGATTTTATTAAAATAGAAATCAATCGCGTAATTAAAATTAATTACGTCAAAACGGTACATATAGATTGGTTGAGTTTTGACTAAAAATGCAAAAAGGAGACTCGTAGTACTCCTTAATATATAAACTTTAAGACAAAGAGTGTCGGAAACGGGATCCTTATCAAAGAGATATGATTTTTGTAAAATCATTTATTTTTACCCCCGTTAGGCACAAAAATAAAAGTCAAAACTAGCTAAAGCAACCTAAAGGAGAGTTATAGTACTCATTGAGATCATTATATAAATATAAAGAGAGCTTAGATCGGAACTCGCATAAAGAAGTTACGATTTTTGCAAAATCTTTTTGTATGCACGAGGTGCGCGCTTATGCCTATCCTGCACCTGACACCGGATTCAAGAATATTGCGAGTGGTGTGGCCAATTTGGGAAGTGACACATGGTCTTCTCTGGATGGAGCCACGATGATTAGCGCGACGCGCTCAGATATTTGTGTCACGCGTACCCGAAATCCATGAATATAAATAGAAGGCAGTGCAGAACTCACTTCTCACACCTTCCATTCTCACTCTCTCTTCAATTCTCAAAGCTGTTTTCCTTGGAGTGGTCCCTGGAGTCCCGAGCCCGATTCAACCCTACATCAACGGTCTCACGCGACAAGGGTGAGTTCATAGCCCCATTTTACTATTTTAGAAGTTTTTTTTTTGGGGGGGAGGGGGAAATACATGCTAATCAAACTGCTTTATCAAAATATATTTATATCAACAAACATCCATCGTTTTATAAAGCATGAAACCTTAGGATAATGTAGCTAGACATACTATACCTAGTTGTAAGCTATGATATTATGCCTAAGAGGTATGATGTTTGATAGTCTAGGAAGAGATATTTCCTAGGTGTTATAATGATTGATTTCCTAGGATAACATAGTACCTAGAAGTAATGTTGGTCAAATTTAGGGATATGCATTGTACCTAATCGTTTCTCTGTCCAAATATCGTGTTTTCATATAACCATATATATATATATATATATATATATATATATATATATATATATATATATATATATATATAAAGCTAGGTTCAAATGTGGATCACTAACTATTGTGTGGCCGTAAGGACCAATGAGATTTAAGAAATATTAATTTCTTTAACAAAATTATATAAGGGTAATTTCGTAACTTTATATATAATTCTTTTTATATACCAAAATAAATTAAGATAAATATGGAAAATCTCTTAAATAAAGGATCAGTTACACCTTAAATCCCAACAACATCTCAAAAACCCTACGTCTCCGAATCTCTCTAGTGTCGATTCTCCCTTCCCCCCATTTTTCCGATGTCGGTCCCCTTCTCTGGCGATCGTCGCACCCTAATAGGGAAATAGCAGCTGTTAAAGTCCATACTCAGAAGAAGTTATAGGTCAGTGGTGAGGAATTTTTTAAGGTATGTAATTTCTTTCCTAATTAAATACTAGTTATGTTTTTCAATCGATTACTAGAAATTGGCAGCCAAGAATTCGACTTTGTGCACTTCGGTCAATCTTTTTCTCCCTTTGATGATTTGATACCAATTTAATGTGCTCTTGATACCAATCGATTCCTTTCCCGTTTTTCGTGTTACTGGTCCAATTTTTTTTTTTTTTTTTGAACTCAATTGATGCTTTTTGGACATTGAATTCTTACTGGTTATATATTTTCTAGATCCTAATGGTATGCTCTCCACCTCTCTTATTTCTTAGTAGTTCTTTAACTGTTCTTTTTGAGATTCTTGTTATGGATTTCTTAATTACCTTGAATGAATCAAATGTTAGAAACCAAAAGCCAAGAATGAATTATCACATGTGGTTCTGATGGTTTTAGTATAAATCATTATTCATATTTGTTGAAATTTAGCATTTCATCAATAAGCTTTATGCGGAAGTGTCAAAATTCATCCAAATAAAACTTTAATTTAGGTCTTAATGTCCTACTTAATTTACACACATATTCTTTACGACCTAATAGAATCTAGCATATCTCGACTTCTGATTTTTCTTAGGTTTAACAAAATTTTGATTAATAATGACCTGTTGAATCTATAACTAATAGAAAATATAAGACATCTTTTTACGTTTCATCGTGGTTATTTCTATCCTTGTTAATATGTATAATCATATCAATGAAAAGTAATTAAATAGTAATCATTTCAGAATAGCATGTTTTTAATGTCTTCTTCCATCCATTTGGTGGCATGATAAATGCACATATATGTTTGGATGTTATTATAACTTGTCAAATTTGCTATAGAAGTAAGGAAACATTATAACGGTTTAAGAGATATGGGGTACTTATTTTCCACATATTTACATTGTTCTTAATTCTTATGGAATCCACATATGGAAAAGGAATCACCAACATCTTCAGAACCATCTTACCATGTTGTTGAAAGTTTAATTGCTTTGTAATTTTTTTTCTTATTTTTATTTGTATTAGTGGATAAAATCGGGCGATATAGAAATTGGGTTTTATTTAATGTATTAACTTTGGGATATTCCTACAATAGAAATGGTATTTGTGCTTTGTGATTTAAGGATGGTCTTTATATTTTAATAAACCTTAAAATGATCATTTGTTTATTCTGAGTGCGGATTGCAATTTTGGAATCAGGTGTATGGGAATGATTTCACCACTGGAATGCAATTGCAAGTTTGGAATCAAGGGTGCCATTCCATGTGGTACTTGTTTTTGGTTTCCATGTTATAATGAAAGAAGGTAAGGTGGTGATCTATTAAGACGGAGACGGTGATGAAGACTAGGATTACATCATCAACATATTCGTTCATAATGCATCAACATATTCTTTTAGAATGCATCATCAACATATTCTTTTAGAATAGACCAAATTGTAATACCTTTTACATTATGGGGCAAGAATGTTGTTATTTGCATCAGAATGTATCTTTTTTTTATGTAAATTACATCAAAAACGTTTTTTTTTTTTGGTATCTCATTCTTCAAAAATGCAAATGTTGTTATTTAAATCTGAATGTCTAAGAACATAAAAAAAATGTTGTTATTCTTTAATTGATGGTTTAAGAATGTTTATATTATTCAAGATGTTAATTCTGTCAAAATATATATTCTGTCAGAATATTCTGTCATGATATGTTATTCTTTAAGATAATCTTGTTATTTTTTCAAAATGTACATTTTTTAAAAATTAAAAGAATTAGTAACCTCCTAAAATCCAAGATTTTCTTTTTTTAAATATAGCTTAATTGACTAAACTACCCTTACAAGTATATATGTTTAATTATATTATACATGTCTTCCTATTGTAATAACATAAACCCTAAATCACATTCTTTCATTTGTTCTCATCCATTGGTCCAGAATCGTCCCTACATCCACACAATATTTGTTGTCCACATTATAACCTAGCCCTATATATATATATATATATATATATATATATATATATATATATATATATATATATATATATATATATATATATATATACATGTATGTATGTACGTATGTATCGCAAAATAAAATATATACATATATATATAAAAAATAATTATGATATCTAAAAGATATAATTATCAAATATAAAATTAAAGGGGTTTATATTGTGATAGTTATAGGAAATCACTCAATAAAAAGGATAAAAGATAAAATACCTAAGGTTAATGCGTTAGTGAGCTATTAATATTCATCCAATAGTCTTGATTAAACTCGGCTACCCCGAACATGTAATCGTTAATCTTGCGAGAGCTAGAAAGATATGTATAGATCTATGCAGGAATTGACACCCCCACCTGCGATTGCTAGCTACAATCCCGGTAGGATAATTGTCTTATTAATCATTATTCGACATCCTATGTAGCGTCGTGGCAGGGAAATCACTAGTCAAGCAGCGTCGATTATGGAGGCTCATGATAATACATTACAACCACCTTAGAGATCCAAATACCAACAGAGATTTCTTAGTGTGGTATATAAAACACGTTAGGATTAGTTAAATATCCTACAAAGATATAAAATTAGGATTAATAAAATATCCTAAAAGATAATAAGATAGGGTCGTTAGCTATCTTCAATAGATAGTAAGCTAGGGTTCATAAAATATTTTAAGAAAGGTTTTTCTAAAATAAAAAGGATTCTTAATTTAAGACAACCAAATAAACTATAAAAATTTATGTACTCACCAACATTATGTTGACGTTTTCAAAAATATATGTATTCTCAGGGAGATAAGTGTGGAGGATAGTTGTGCCTAGGAAAAGGTTTTCAAGGAAGCTTGCTGGAGTTTAGTTCTGTCTATTTGTCATTTTTAGTTATGTTTACGATGTGTGTTTGACCCTTTTAAACAATGTAATCCCAAATAAATTATAATAAATAAAAGTATAGTTTGTGATATACTTTTGTGTTATGTTCTATATATATATATATATATATATATATATATATATATATATATATATATATATATATATATATATATATATATATATATATATATATATTGTTAAGTGCATTTTATGCACTATTGAAGCATGTTTAATTCATTCTTTTGCATTTCAATTTAGTAATAATCCATGCAATTTACTTGTTTTTGGGAAAAAAAACTTCGCACACTTTATTTCCACAATTTTTATGCCATTTCAAGTGGTTCTAGAGGTTGGAGATGAATCGGGATGGTGAAAAAGGACCGGGAGCAAAGATGCGGATTTTTTGGAGAAGAATTGAAGAAAACAAGAATTTGTCACAGAAGAGTTGACACGGTTCGTGTCTATCTTTGACACGGGTCGTGTCAATCGGTTAGTCAACGTTTAGTGGCTGCGAATGAGGAAAAACCCTAAGTTTTTGGATGACACGGGGCCGTGTTATTCCTTCACAATTTGACACGGGGTCGTGTCTGTCGTATAACTTCCAGGACAGTTTTCTTTTATGAACGAATTTCGGGATTTTAAACAACAAAAACAGACTCATATTTATTCCAGGACATCAGGGTCAATTCTTAGAGGAAGATTTTAGTTGGTAGCTTGAAGAGATCATTTGGAAACACTTTAATTTGCATTTTGTAAGTCAATTTGAAGATCAAACTTGTTGAATTTGTAGTTTAACTTATATATGTGTGGCTGATTTCTTAATCATATCTAATTCTGGATTCTTAAGTGTTTGTTGTTAGGTTGTAATTTGAACTTGACTTTATGTTATCATCTAGTAATCTTTGATTTGATCTTAATTATATGTTTGATTGGTTCTCTCTTTCAATTGATCAATGAATTATGGTTCTTATCATTTTTGTTAATCAAATTGTAAAATTCGCATATGTTTTATGATTTGATGTTAGTAACATGCACTTGATTGGTTGTAATTAGATAAAAATAAGTGTAATCAAAGATTAAATGTTCATAATCCCAAGCTTACGAGGAATGTTGAACATTGTTGGTAATTGTTGCAAGAACTTAATGTCATTTAAAGATTTGATGCAAGAGCTTATTTGAATTGAATCAATTAAATGAAGTTTTATTTGAAGAACATGTTTTGAATAAAACACATTTGTCAACTTGGATATTAGAGTTTATTAATATCTAAATTACCAACCTAGATTGAACATGAGTCATAATCATACTACATCTATCAACATAATACATGTATAGGAATCAGAATCCGAAATGTATTTCTTTTACTGAATTTTGTTATCAAACTTGTTTATTTATGAAGTTCAATTCGAGTTTAAACATAATCCCCCATTTTAATATTGTTTGTATGATGCGTGAGAATATGGCTAAATAAGAAGTCTCGTATTCCTGTGGACCGACCCTGCTTACTCTATATTATCTTTAGTGTAAGTAGTAGCAGTGATTTGCATTGATTATTATTATTTTATCCCATTATTTGTTGGTTTGACAACCAAACATATATATATATATATATATATATATATATATATATATATGCCTCAATCCAATTTCCCCCACGTCACACCTCCTGGCGTTTTCGTCGTCGGCCGGGGGTGTAACAAAAGAAAGAACGCTAAAATCGAAATTAAATGACTTGGAGAAAAAAGAGTTGATTGATCTCTCTCAAAAAGCAAAAATTAAATGGTCTATATAAGAAGATGAAATAGTAAATATTTTCATGGGATTATTAAAAAAAAAAAAAAAAGACTTATGGCTATAAGGGGTGTAAAAGACGAAGGAGAGTGGGTTATTAATCGTATGAAAGTTAAAAACATTTTTTACGCATTTATGTGAAAAAATCAAACAAGCTCCATTTATTGAGATTGAAAGGAGGATTCCATAGTTTTCATCCCTTACAAAAATGGAATCTACCGGTATTGAGAGTATGATTACGTTGGAAGAGATCAAACTCGCTGTTTGCTCTTGTGGTAATGAAAAAGCACCTGGTCCGGATGGGTTCTCTTTTTCGTTCATAAAAAGTATTGGGATCTGTTAAAGAATGATATTTTCGCCTTTGTAGGTGAATTTTTTTTACATTCTAAAATTCTTTCGGGGTGTAACTCTTCTTTTATTACGTTGATTCAAAAAATTGATAATCTGGTGGGTGTTAATGATTTCCGTCCTATCAGTCTTAATTGAAATCCAATATAAGATCATCTCAAAAATTCTAGCGCTGCGATTGGCTAATGTTGTTGATAGTATTGTCGGTCATGAGCAATCAACTTTTGTGAAAAATCGTCAGATTTTGGATGTGCCTCTTATGGTGAACGAAAATGTCGAATGGTATAAGAGAAAAAGAAAGAAAATGATGTTATTGAAGATTGATTTTTAAAAATCTTATGATACGGTTAATTGGTCCTTTCTTGATCACATAATGCAGTTTATGAATTTTGGTTCTAAGTGGAGATCTTGGATCCGAGCTTGTTTGATGACAGCGAGATCTTCGGTTCTTCTTAATGGTAGCCCTACGGAGGAATTCCAATTATTTAGGGGTTTGAGACAAGGTGAACCCTTATCACCGTTCTTGTTTATTCTTGCCATGGAGGACCTTCACGTCGCTATTGAAGATGCTAAAACAAATCATCTTTTTAAAGGAGTTCATGTTGGAAATGGACATATGATAATTTCACATCTTTTTTATGCAGATGATTTGATCATTCGTGGTGATTGGATTCGGTCGAATATTACTAACATAGTTCGATTTCTTCATTGTTTTTTTCTGGTTTCAGGTTAAAGATTAATTTGCATAAGTCTAATCTTCATGGGTTTTGCACTTTGTTTGAGGAAGTCGAAGATTTTTTTTTTGTTGTAGGGTGTCGTCCAGATAAATTTCATTTCATTTATTTAGGACTCCTTGTGGGCCAAAATATGTATAGGGTGGTGACTTGGAAGGTGGTTATAGATAGATTTCATAAAAGGTTATCAAATTGGAAAGCTGTTGTTCTATCTATTGGTGGAAGATTGATGTTGATAAAGTTCGTATTGGGATTGTTAGGTATATATTTCTTGTCTTTGTTCCTTATGTCAGTTGTTGTTGCTAAGAAGTTGGAATCTCTACGTGCAAATTTTTTTGGGGAGGAGCAGATAAAAACCGCAAAATTGTGTGGGTTCAATGGGAGATGGTTATTGCAAGTAAAAAAGAACGGTGGTCTTGATATTGGAAGTTTGGTGGCATTTAATTTTGCGCTTCTTTAGAAATGGTGTTGGAGATCTTTACATAATAGTAATTTGCTTTAGGTTAAAGTTGTCAAGAAGTTATATGGTGAGAATGGTGGTCTTGATCGAGTTGGTTACTTGGGGGCGGCACCTTGGGCTCGTATTCTAGCATCCTATTCTAAACTTCGTTCTCATGGTGTGGATTTAGAATCTGTGATGTATAAGAAAGTTGGGAATGGTGCTTTGACTAAATTTTGGAAAGATATATGGCAGGGTGAGATAATGGCTAGTAGATTTTCAAGGTTGATTGAGTTAGATCTT